ATGATATAAATAATTCAAAATTCGTGTATCTTGATGAAAAAATAAAAAATGAATATTTCGCGGAGGGAAAATCAGTTCAACTTTGTTGGTTGATTGACCCACAAAACAAACGAATTTATACATACAAAAGGGGGCAGCGCCGTCAAGAACACGGATGGAGAGATGTCAACGAAGAAAATATTTTACCCAATTTTACGCTAGACATAGAGATGGTTAATGATGTTATTTCGCAGGTATTATATGCCATATTTGTTTTTTTATCACTTATACATTAGATTCATATATTTTTGTGTTACTATAGACACCCTCAGTAACATCAGAAAGTGAGAACGATTTAGAAATCAACTGTCTGAGTGTGATGAAACCTTTATTGAACGTCTTTTTTTTACGAAACATTATGAAAAACAACATGTACGTAAGAGACAGCATAAAAATTAAAAAATATAACGGTATAGTGACAATTAGTTACATGGTATTGATTAATTTAAGCATTATAAAGCACACTGATTACATTGTGAATTCATGATAGCTATTTTTATATAATAACGTTGCCCAAAGCTAGGAATTGTCAAAATTGTAATAACAAAGTATCAGGCATTTATTTTTTATACAATTAACTTTACCGACTGGAGATATGGCACGTACATCATGCAAAATTTTAGGGTAGACGCCGTATAGGTGTATCAATAAAAAATATATTGACTGGTTTTTTGTAATATGCGTAACAGAATTTTCTGGTGATGATGAAGACGCTGGATATTACTACGATTTAAAAGCCAATAGTATAACTTATAAAAAATCGGTTAGTGCATATTAATGGCATTTGTGTATCCTAATTTTTCAGATGTACGTTAATAATTTAAATAAATTTTTTTGCTAATCACGAATCTTTGAAAAAGAAAAATGGAAAAGAAATAATAGGCCAGATTTTATATAATGGGAACGGACTTAGTAGATTAATTTTTTATCAGATTTGACAGGTTATCGGCTTTGGCAGGATCGGTTTTGAGAGGGTCAACTGTATCTCTATTTTTTGGAACCTTTGATCATTTTCATAATATATCGATCTTGCCAACCGATTACCCAATTCTCAACCGGATGTACCGGGTCAACCGATTAAAAAAATTTCCTCAATCAGTTAACCAAAATCTGTTCTGTTCGGTCGATTAATCGATTATAGGCAAACCGATTCAAATCACTATATTTATAGAGGCTGTATATTTCAGGATGTAGACAGATATGAAAATCACTTGTAGATATGAATAAAACGTTAGAAATTGAACCAAATGCATTTGCATTAAGAAACTTATCGTATGTTAGGAAGATACAATAAATCACTTGCAGATTTAAATCAATCATTAGAAATTGAACCAAACAATACATTTTCATTATGTAGTTGTGGAGCAACTTATCATGAGTTAAAAAGATATGAAGAATCACTTGCAGATTTAAATCAATCATTAGGAATTGAACCAAATAATGCAAAAGTATTAAATATTCGTGGAACAACTTATCGTGCGTTAAAAAGATATGAAGAATCGCTTACAGATTTAAATCAATCATTAGAAATTGAAATGCATTTGCACTAAGTAGTTGTGGAGTAACTTATCGTAATTTAAGAATCGCTTACAATCATTAGAAATTGAACCAAATAATGTGGGAATAGTGGAATAACTTATCTAAGATGAACAGATATGAAGAATCACTTATAGATTTGAATAAATCATTAGAGATTGTACCAAATAATATGTGGACATTAAAAAATCGTGGAAAAGCTTATTGTAAGTTAAATAGATATGAAGAAGCAGTTTCAGTTGGAATAAATTGTTAGAGATTAAACCAAATAGTGTATCCATATTAAAAAGCCGTGGAGAGACCTATCTCAGTGTGGAAAAATATGAAGAATTACTTGCAGATTTGAATAAATCATTGGAGATTGAACCAAACAATGCATATACAGTCGACTCTGCATATAACGAACCCTGAGGGTCTATATGTAAAAATTTTAAAAAGTTCCTTATAGAGAATTTACTGTTTTTATACCGAACTCTATAATAAATTTGCTAAAAAAAAGTTCGTTATAAAAATGTTCGTTATATCCAGAGTCGACTGTATATTAAGAATTTGTGGAATAACTTATCGTGCGTTGAAAAGATATGAAGAATCACTTCAGTTTTGAATAAACCATTAATATTAAACCAAATAATGCACTTGCATTAATGCGCCGTGGAATAACTTACCTCATGATGAATAGATATAAAGAATCACTTGCAGATTTAAACAAGTCGTTAGAATTTGATCCAAATAATAAATTGTCATTAAGTTATCGTGGTGCAGCGTATCGCACAATGAACAGATATGAAGAATCTCTCGCAGATTTGAATAAATTATTAGAAAATTTTCAAAACGAGGTAGATGCGTCGAAAAATAGCGGAAAAACTTATAAATGGGTTTACTCATATAATGGTTTACTTATAGATAAATCATTGGCAATTAAGCCAAACGATACAATTGCATTAAAAACCCGAGGGGCGATTCAACGCATTATGGGTGGATATAAAGAATCACTTGCAGATTTAAATAAATTATTAGAAATTGAATCCAATAATGCTTTTGCATTAAGTAATCGCGGAGCAATTTGGGCAAATATGTGGAGTCACTTGAAGATTTGAATAAATCGCTAGAAATTAAACCAAATGAAAACATTTACATTGGATGAATTAGAACACATATTTACGCTAGTTAATATGGCGCAATTACAATAAAAGGCACTTTAGATTTAATAAGCGTAGAAAAATTGACTAAAAAAAACAAGTGTAAAAAGTTAAGGTTTTAAATAAGTAAAGTATTCTCATTACAACAAATAATGATGAAGTAGCTGCAGGCTTAAATTCTAATGAATTTATATAAATTAAAGTAGTTCACAATTCCTTTAACTTAACACATATATATTTTAAATTTTTTTTTTTTAAAAAAAAATTATCTTGATAATCATTTTATCTTCTTATATTTTTTATTTTATTTTAAACTTTTTTGCCTCATTTATTTGAATTACTCTTTTTTTTTTTTTATAATCAAATTGAAACCACAAAGAAAATTTTTTTAACAAATGTCGTTTACCACAGTGTTGGCAGTTGACCTAAGTTTGGGGTAGTGCTCGGCACAATCAAACAAAAATTTGACAGTCAAATACTTGTTA